CTAAAACAAACAAGGCTGAGCTGCTGCCTTGTTCTGTGAAAGAGTCCCTCAAAGATGGATAAAACTGAGGCTTCATTGCACCTGAGAGCAAAGTGCTGTGTTTCTTAGCTTGTACGTGTGAAGAGCTGGTTAATTTGCACCTTGTGTCTGAAGGGAATGGAAAGCAGCTCTGCTAATAGATGTTGCTGGTGTAAAGACAGGGATTTTGCCGTCGTCCAGTAGAGTCCAGAGAAGCGCTGGCCCTTGTTTGGCGCTGATGGAGCGCACAGTCAGGTTGCTAACTAACACTGAACCTAAAAATCTAATGTGAAAGATAAATGACAGATTTCACAGGAGCTACCCAATACTTTGAGGGATGAAAAGATTTGGCTGTTGGTGCCGCTGTTTGGAATGTACCTCGAAATGTGAACCCATGAAACGGGCTTAATGCAGATCAAATGTGCAGGTCTCATCTGCCTCTGAGCACAGCAGGTTGTCGCTGAATGACCACAGCTGCAAGTGATAAAATGGCCCTTCGGTAGCAATAATGATGGAAGAGGGAGATGAGAGGAAAGCTGTAACTCTTCCTTTGTTGGATGTTTTATTCCCTGTATGTGTTTAGGTGAATGAGTCCCACCATGACTGTGATTGAAGGGGCAGATGGGGAGAGGAGGGGAGACCAGCTGATAAGAGCAGCCAGGGTGCGGGACTAACTTCGAACCAACCCACCAACAGGACCAACCTGCTGATGCAGCTCCAGGGAAAGATATTAAGTTGCCCCTTTCTCAGCTCTTCTGCAATCTCAGATTGAAAGCTGTCTTTCTTCAAACTGCGTGGGGATGACCAACTTCAGCAGTGGGTTTCCTCCTTCTCTGTGGTTGTTGAGCGTCTTATGACAAATTGAATCTTGGTGTCTGGAGGTCTGGCTTCTCAGAAGCTATATTAGTCTCCTGCTGCGTGAGGAGCCACTCTTTAGATGATGGGCCAGTTGGTGGTTCAGGGTGTTTTTAAGGGCATGAACCTAAGACCCTGCTGCTAGTGCGCTGTTGTGGTGGGTTGCACTGCTCACAGCAGAGCTGCGTTTCTGGCATTGGGGGCTGGACTTGATCTGTGTGCCGCTGGGATCACTGCAGGCACGAGCGATACTGTGCCTTCCAGCGCTCTCGTGGTATCTCTGCTGGCTTTGAGCGCTGAGGTACGAGCAGATCTCCCAGTGCCGCTGCTGTCGCACCAACAGAGACTGTGCAAATCTGTCTAACTGTTGAGCGCCAGCGGACAAACTTCCACCGGATATGTAGAGGTGTGCCTCAGTCCCTCTGCGTTACTTCCGAATTTAAAGTGAATTGGCAAAGAGGGTTTTCAAGAGCCACGGCTAGAGCGTTAATGTGCTGTATGCCTTATAGTAACTGAGGGTAGCCTTGTGTTCCCCCATCTTTTATGCTCAAGACTATCGAAAACAATTTTGCCATAGAAATGTGTGCGGTATGAAATGCTTTGCACATCTCTGCATTTTCATAGCAAGATTAGCTTTTCATGCCTTTATGGGCTTTCAATCACTGGCATGTTAAATATTTTGAGGTGAGATTCTGAAGTCTTTTTTTCTTGTACCAGAGCCCTCCAAGAGAAGTGTTTATGCTTTGTACTGCAGAGGGCTTGACAGCTTGCATGCCAAACAGCCAAACGGGCAGGTATGTCTTCCTCAGACCAGGCTCAGTATTGGAGATGGTGACATCTTCCACTTCTTTTCAGGCCTTTCTTACCCTGTGAATATAACCTGAAGCTAAATTTTAGCTCTGTCTTTTTTTTTTTATGTGATAACAAAGGTATAGGTATGATGAGCAGCAGAAAAATGTAGACATTGGCCCTGTAGGATGTACTAGATAGCATAGCTAGACTGCTTTTTGCCTCTAGATAGTGACGATCTGTTGGTGGCATGACTTTTCTTCACCGCAGCTTAGGCAGCCACCAGTAATGGAGCTGACTGTATTCCCCTAGTGCCTGTCAGGAGAGCACCGGACTAGTGGGACAGTTTCATCCTCTGGAATGATCAGCAGTGTTCATGCAAGAAATCCTTCGTGAGAAAAGATTTGATGAGGAGGAGCTCTAACTGCATGCTCTGGTGTGTTAGGAAAGGCTCCCTTTCCAGGGAAGCAGTTTTGTTCATTTTAAGTACTGCCTTTGTGAAGACCTCATAAAACGTCTCCAATTGTACAGCTCTACTAATTTTGTTCAAGGTTTCTGTGTGACCTTGATTTTCCCAGATGGCTTGACCATTCTGGGTTTTTTTTAATGTGTATATACATAGAAGGGGCTTTGTAAGTCTGACCGTGTGGTTTTAATGTTTTCCTGCTGTTGTATGCTCTGTCTGCACATTTTAGATATGGAAATACAACAAATCCAGAGTATTGACAAAAGCATTTACTGGTGGATTCTTTTATCTGTAGGCAAAGTGGTGTTTATTAAGTGTTTGTCCAGGGAATACTCTTCGTTCTTCCACTGCTTCAGTTTTGCAGGTTTCTTCTTTTGATCCTCTGGAGATATTTTTGAATCTGAATTAAGCATGGTAGTTTTCTAAACGAGACATCAG